TTGAAACAAACACCAATATTTTTAATTAGACTTAGTTGGTTAATGGTAGCATGCAGTGACAGATCAAGTCACTAGATGGCGCACATGTGACATCACAGCAGCCACATCACTTCAATGTCAATGTCAAAAAGCTTAATAAATTATTAATTATTGGAAATAAGCACATGAATTAGTTTTTACTTTTGAAGACTTTTAATATTACTTAATAATTAATTAATTAATTAAGTCAGTTGAAAGTGTTCGTTCCTAATGAGCACTGCAGTACACACTCTCTACAATAAATTCCTCCTGATCCTGTTTTTATCCAATACAAGTAGATGGTTGTAAACAGGGTGCAGGAGACTGTGCACTAAAACCAATAAAATAAACAAGCTCATCTGGTCCAGTCCAGTACATGGCAAGCATTTAAGCATTAAGCAGAAAAGCAGAATTGGACCAAATCAAGACAACATCTTAATCTGTTTATGAAAAACAGGAATATGAATGTACAGCCAGCATTTATGTTGAATTTAGATGTTTAAATTTAAATCTTTTTTTTTTTCTCTCCAAAGGTTGTTTTGTTTTCTAGAGGATCTTTCTGCTTCATGAGAAAAGACACAGATGAAGTCAGCAGCCAAGCTGAGCTGTTGGATGTTTACACATACAGGAAGGATGCACACTTGTGTGAACAAAGAAGAAGAAACACACAAAGACAAATAGGTGAAACGTGATGCAGAGGAGGATTATCAACGGGAGAAGGGGAAGCAGCACTCAAAGCACATTTTCACACTGTTTCACTACTCGACAGTTGGTGGTGGCAACGCCCCAAGAAATGGAGCAATGCACCAGTAAAAGGAGGAAAGAACTCATAGTCGATTTAGAGAATCCATGTTTTAAAAATCTGTTTTAATAATGTTTGATGAGGAGGGAAATGCATTTGTCAGGCAATAAGGATACACGCAGTGCGTTTTTGGTTAGTAAGACATGCTGAATCTAAGCATTCCTGTAGATACACATTTTAAACACACTGACGGTAAGGTCACCACTGCTCAGGTTTTTAATGAATTTCAGTCTCATGTCCACTGTGTATTCACACATTCCAGTGTTTTTTCTTCTAATATAAGACTTTACTGATACCCTGGGGAGAAAATGCACCATACAGCTACGGTGTAGATGTCTCCAGTGGGTGCACAATGATGACAGGAAACACTAGTGTTGTAGTTAAATACATCAGAAAGTGAGACGACTCTGGTTCAACTATTCCTGAATCCTCACCTCTACTTTGTGTGTGTGTGTGTGTGTGTGTGTACCTCTTCAGGAGCTCCACTGCCAGGAAAGAAGTTTCCATTATCGTACCGATGGAGAGAGATGTAGAGGACGTTGGGGTCACTGTAGAAGGCCTGCTGGGTGCCGTTGCCATGGTGAATGTCCTGCAGTGCCAGGTCACAGTGCCATCAGAGAGAAGGTCAGTGGGATATTATGATACAGACACACTGAACACACACAGTCTGCTCAACATTTTATCCAGATTAGTCCTGCTTGCCTGCATAAAGGCCTGGTCAGAATTTTCAGCTCTTAAAATTAAGTTTGAATGAATATGAATGAATAAAAATGAAGGCAGCGTGGTTGAGGATATGAATCATTTGGCCGGTAAATTACACTTTGTAGATCGAAATGACTAATTTTTCTAGCCTACAGAGTTTTAAAGGTCCCATGTTACATTTTTCCTGTGTTTTATTTGAAGTGTTGATCCATAAGAAAATATATTTGTGGTGTTAATAACCAAAAACCATCTCCATCTACTTTTACATCTTCTCTCTAAGGCTTGTCTCTGTTGCTCTAGTAAGAACAGGTCAGTGAGCCAATCAGAAGAGAAGAGGCTCTGAGCCTCTCTTCTGAGTGGCTGACATTTTTCTGAGTGATTGAATTAAAATAAAACAGATTTCAGGTAAACACTCGGAGAAACTAAATCCTGCAAGGTTGGATAGTGGGTCCGGGTGGGGTATGGCTGAGGACAGTGACTGCTTTGTTGTGACATCACAAAGTTACAAAAATCCTGACAGCTCGTTTTAAGGCTCAATTTCTGACAGGCTGTGTGCATTTCTCTGTGGACTAAGCGCTTTGATACTTTCATATTATTAATATAGAACGTAGACCTGCTTTATAATCAGAAAAGACATGGAAATCTAGCTTTATACAACTGGCTAATTTTATTATTTTATACATAGTGATTTTAATTTCACTATTTATGAGTAAATCTCTGTGTTCTTGCCAAATAAATATTGTCAATATTTTCTCATCAAATATCTGGTGACAATGCTGACAGATTGTGTGTGTGTGTGTGTGTGTGTGTGTGTGAGTGTATCAGTGCTTCTCACCCAATCCACAATGAGGATCTTGCCCACTCCCAGTTTCTGTTGCAGCAGCTTTGCAGTGATAGCTACTGAATTGAAGAAACAAAAGCCCCTGTTCACACACACACCCACACACAAACACACCCCCACACACACACACACCCACGCACACACACGCATACATACAAAAAAAGGGTACAAACTGTAAGTCAACATGAAGATGTGAAGTAGAGAAATATCTAGTTGTGTAACAGTAATGTTGTGGGTGAGCTTACATGGCAGTGGATTCCTCAGCGTGGTGACCTGGTGGACGCACCACTGCGAAGCCGTTCTGGTGCAAAAACAAACACAGTGTGAAGGACAGGTCTCACAAAAGTTTATGTTCAGTGTGTGTTTGTGTGTACACACTTGTGAATATCTCCGTGTGTTACCTTCAGCTCCCCTGCCGCCACTCTGAAGGCCAGCTCGATGACCGAGCCAACCGCCATGCGAACCGCTGCTGATGAGTGCATTTCATTCCACACTGTGTCACTGTCCACCTGCAGGGGGCAGCACAGAGCTCAGTCCAGGGTTTCAACTCTGAGAGATAAAACAGTATCAGATACTGACAGAAAGGTTGTCTCACCCCTATTCCTCCACAGGGAAGAACGGCGTACATCTTCTGGCTGATTGGACCTGAAACAACCAATCAGCAGAGGTTACAGGAACTGTATTGTGTGAGCATCAGGATGCATTACAGAGAAACCACAGAGTTCATATTAGCATGTACACACGTGCATAAAAAATACCTAGACAGACAGACAGACAGACAGACAGACAGACAGACAGACAGACAGACAGACAGACAGACAGACAGACAGACAGACAGACAGAGAGACAGAGAGACAGAGAGACAGAGAGACAGACAGAGAGACAGAGAGACAGACAGACAGACAGACAGACAGACAGACAGACAGACAGTTACCCAGCAGTTTCTTGTGGTCCAGTTTGTGTCGATTGAGCGGACTGGTTCCATAGAGCAGAGTGTGAAACTCTGAATGAACAGACTGGATCTCATCCAGAGACGCTTTACGCCCACGAATCCTCTGCTCACACACAGACAGAGACAGACTGAGTAAAGTTTTTGCATTTTTAATTTGCACATTAGAAAAAAAACAATAATACAAGGGATATTTAGCAATTGCCTGTTGTCATAAAAAAGCTTCTATACATGAGATGGAAAATCCAGAAATGATGCATTTACAGCAACTGATGATAATAAACTGCCATGAGGGCTTTAACCGCACACTTGGGAGGTGAACATAAGCAGTGTATAGCAATGCATGCTGGGATATCACACAACATTGTGGGTTTAAGGCTTAATGTTACAATTAGCCTTAGGGGTTTCTGGGGTTAGGGTAAGGGGCTTGGGTTGTCAACATATGTCCTCACAAAGATAGAGGTACAAATGTTTGGGTGTTTGAGTGTGTTTGTGTGTGTGTGTGTGTGTGTGTGTGTGTGTGTGTGTGTACCTCGCAGCGGCCCAGCAGGCCCGTCTCCTGCAGTCTGGACCAGATGCTCTGCACTCTCCCAGCATGCTCTGGGTGGATGTGAGCATTGCCACACACACACTGATGCTTCAACATCAGACTGTCATACACAAGCCCTGGAGTAACAGAGAGAGAGAGAGACAGAATAGCACCTCAAATAAAAGCTTTTACTCCAATAACAGCTGAAGTGTGGACTTTAAAAAGAAGTTGGGTAGAGATGGAGGACGCATAAAAAAATAGAGAAAAGAAAATTTCATTCCTGAGTATAACCCAGTCCCATCCAGTCCCCTGGCAACCTCCAAAGGACAACTGATACGGCTAATCAACAGAGGATGAAACATATTTATTCATATAATGATAAACTATCCAAATATTCACAGCTTTTATTACCCCAGCACAACAACAAATGTGTGTTAATGATCCTCCATGATGTTATTGTATTTTGTAGTAACAAATAAACTCCACAAGATGTCAGTAGCTCCAAGTGAAAGGTGTGTGATACATGCAGGACATTGAATTTACCACTGTACTTAAGGCAGACATAGTTTAATAAGACGTATATATGGCTAATGTGACTTGAAAATTAAGATCCCAACAATCAGATCCCTACATCCGGTCAGCTGGAAACTCAGCCTCATCAAACAGGATCATTCACACCCTTTTATTACTTCATACCTCCTGTCATACAGGTTGTTGGTTAAGACAAAAGCCTCATTAACAACTGCCACAAATAACATGCAGTTGAAGATTTGGACACTGTACATATTTTGCACTTTGCTACTTTAGCCTTAAATACCATATTCATCTTTTTACTCCATGTGCACTCTGTGGTTTTTACTTGTGAGACACAGCAACAACAAATTTATTTTGCAACAATCTCAGAAGCTTTTAAAGTGAAACAAATACAGGAAATGTTAAGTTAATATTTACAGAGAACAGCAACAACACAACAAAAAAAACATAAACAGGAAGTGATAACACATCACAATAATGAGGGATCTTAGTTGAACATGTTTAAATGTTATAAAACAGGAAACACAGCTTTAAAATTGATGGTATTTCATTCAGTTCACTTAGTTTGTCTGAACGGTCAGCCAACGGAGAGTCAGATCTCTGTTGCTAAGCAACAAGCATTGTAGCTTACAGTAGGTGGACTGACACCAGTGATGTCAAACTCTCATTCAGTCACAAACAGATGTGCACACACACACAAAAAAAATACTGACCAGTAGTAAAGAGGTGTTTGATGGGATTGACCGTGGTTGCAGGGGAGGACTGCGCTCTTCCCAGAGGTCTGTGGGGCAGGGAGGACTGGAATACACCCAACTGCTGCAAGGGCTGATGGGAAGGGTAAAGAGAGACAAGAGGAGGAGAGACAGTTAGGAGTCACAGCAGAGGGATGAATCAGAGAGCAGTCCCTTCTCTGCAGTGATGGAGTGTGTGTGTGTGTGTGTGCGTGCGTGTAGAATAGTTTAACACCAACAGTGCTCCCGTCTCTCTCCCTGTCATCACACCCACACACACAGTGTAATCATTATAATGATAAATATCATTCATAAAAATCAGTAAGAAAAGGTGCTTCATAGATTAAAACTGATGATGATTGATTGATTGATTGATTGATTGATTGATTCAACTGCTGCACTTTTCATAATGATGACAATGGCTATTTCCTGACACTTTGACTGACAGTCCTGATCACCAGCCTCCACAGTGGTGTATGTAGGTGTGTGTGTGTGTGTGTGTGTGTGTGTGTGTGTGTGTGTGTGTGTGTGTGTTTGTGTGTGGTTCCTTTATGTCTGTATATCTACAAGTGTGTGTGTTTTAGTGTCCACCCACACATGATGAGTCACTCAGTTTGCAGCAGGGAGCACAGCAACACTCCCCATATATAGACTCTACACAACATGTGTGGCTGCTGTGCTTTAATACCACACACACACACACATACACACACAGCAGTGAGTCCAGTGGTTGAGTCACCGGCTGGTGATGTCACTGCAACGTCAACAATTGTGTGTGTGAGGTGTGTCAAGTCTCTCTTAGGTTTCTCCAGATACCACAGCGTGTGCGTGTGTATGTGTGTGTGTGTGTGTGTGTGTGTGTGTGTGTGTATTCCCATTGTGAAAGTGGTCTCAGACTTTTGGACACCGCAGTATATACATATAAATGAAGAGATATAAATTTAATGTGCAATTTTATATTCGAATCCTGCCCTTTCCTGTTTCTGTAAAATGTCAAAGCTTCTTTCGTCTTCTGATGACTCATCCTGTGCTTGTGTGTTTCTATCCAGTTAAATAGGATCGCACATTTTAGACCGATCCATTCAAACCTCCCCTCGAATACGAGCTGCTTTTTCCACAAATCACAGTGAACTCAGGTCAGAGGTGTGTATTGGTTGCAAAGAGGCTGAAGAAAAAAGATCAATGAAAAAATCTTTAAAGTTTGTAGGTTCAGGCTAAAGGATAATATAAAGTCCTGACACACATAAACAAAGTCCGGCTGCTGCTGCAGTCTGAGACTCAGGTTTTGAATGACTTAATAACCTTTCTAGCTAATTTGTCTTTCCTATCTATCAGCGTGTCTTGTATTGCACCTCGTCTTGCTGAACAAGCAACTAAACAAGTATGTTTTAAAAGAATTTTTTTTTTTTAATGTGCAAGTCAATTAAAAGTGAAGTGTTGGTTTGTTTTTGGTTTAGTGCCTCAGCAGTCCACATCTGAGGTTCACACACAGTACAGCATCACTATCTAAACTACATGCACACTGCCAACTGGTCAGAGCATCACACTGCCAGGCATTAGGTCTTGTCTGTGATTGGGAAAATACACTTGTCAAATTTTGGTAAATTAGAAACATGAACTTGTCAGTGAGAGCAGAAAACAGAAATGTTATATATGAGCTCACTCACAAGGAGCAGCTCAGGATTTCTATGTGTGAAAACTAGTGTGCAAAGGTGAAAAACACCTGCAGCCGCCTCAGGTTTGGGCTGAAGTAACGGGCCGACTGTTAGCTGCGATGAGTCAGATAGCTAATTCATAGCAAACATCTGCAGCACAGCAAACAAAGTGAGAGAGAGAGGGAAAACAGGCAGGAGGTTGGCTGATGATGCAATTGTATGATTCATCCCTCTGTGGGATGATGCTGCGTAACCAGGGTCCTGAGTTTAAGACTAACTCTGGACCTTAAAGTGGTGATTCCCAACACTTTTCGTCTGACGTAGCCCCTCATCAGGGATCAGATGAGCTTGGGTGCCCTTTAATCGACCCAGCCATTATGCTCCAAATGTATTTAATCAAACTGATTTTAAAGTGGACGTTAAGTGACACTACAAAAGTGTTTCACTGTCATTATCATTTCAAATGTTTATTCATTACTTTACCTAACTATTCCAACCGGTTAAACATTTTTAACCTTTTATTTAACTACGTTCTTAGAATTATCTGCGTTTGACCTGCTCCAAAAAAAACACATTTACAAATTTGATAGGATTTTGATATTGCACATGCAAAATACTCCTGGCTGGGAATCATTGTCACGGAATATAAGTGGGTGTGGAGATACAGAGAAACGCTGTTGACAGTGTGACGTTCAGTCTTAACGTAGAAAAACACTGTTTTCACACAAACCTGCGAATAGCTCCCCCTCTCCTCTTCGTCGCCCTCCCTCAGCTGGATGACTTCTTCATCCTCTTCCTCTTCGTCCAGCTCACTCTCGGTACTCTCCCCTTTCACATGCATGCCCCCACGCTCATCCTCACCCTTCAAGTGCACACCAAGTCGCTCAGAGGAGGGTGTGCTGTCATCTGACCCCTCCTTCTGAAGTCTGATTAGGACAGAATTACAATAACGTTAAGATGTTTACATTTACATATACATAAAAAGATAAAGATGAAGATTAACCAATCATCAATACTGACAAATTGGTCATTAGAAATGCCACACCTGTGAGGGCCCACCCCTCCGTCATCTTCCTGCATGTCATTGGTCTCTGTTAGCTCCTCCTCTGTCTCCTCTGGGTGGGTGGGTGGTGGCCTTGGAAGATCAGTCCCCTTCGATAGCATCTATTCACACAAGGTAATGTTAGTATACGAAGGTGTGCACTTATAAATGTGCGTGTGTGTGTGTGTGTGTGTGTGTGTGTGTGTGTGTGTGTGTGTGTGTGAACATGTGAACCTTGTAGTGTTTTTCCAGGAAGTGCTGGTGTTGCTGTTGAACCACCAGCTGCTGAAGGGCCTGGGGGGACTGGGGCAAAGGTGCACTCTGGGTACGAGCCAGTGGGCGATGGCGAGGCAGCTTGTTGACTGCCCGCATGCCACTGGACACGCCTCTCTCTGCTGTAACCAATGGCGACTGGCTGTACATGGGGACTGAGTGGGTTGAGGGTAAAAGCAAAAAGACAATGAGTTTGACACGACACGTGAACACTGTCGTTATAATAGCAATGGACTTCAATGTACTGTACGGGTGTGTGTGTGTGTGTGTGTGTGTGTGTGTGTGTGTGTGTGTGTGTGTGTGTATGGGTATACCAGCTAGCATAGCCGTCTGTTGTCTGGCCTGCTCCAGTAGTAGTACATGTTGCAGTAACGAGGAATGGGCAGAGTGAGAGCTGGTCGTCTCGTCTCCACGTCGTGCAAAGAAACATTATCATATCTTTACAAGCTCCAAATAACAGACTTTCAAAACTGATTCAAATAAATTCTGTCTGGTTTCTCCATGTATGTAAATGACACTGTACATACATATATAACATGTAATACTGTAATATAATAATTACAGAATAATTAATTCATTTATGAACCATGGTAAAACTTACCTGCAGGTAGGGAGGATGTGGAGAGAAACTTCCCCGTCAGAGCTCCGCCGCCTCGCAATGATTGGATGGCTTGACGCTCGGCCTCCTGCTGGGTAGACAGCTTCTGGGGGGCCTGGAGCGGGAGGAGGCATTACCATGGTTATCGTACACTACACAATCACTTGGCCAAAGTGGTAACTGCAGGTCGTGGTCCCAGGTTGTAAAACTCGGTTATTAGATAATAAGTAAGTGAAATATGTGTAGAGTTCCTTGAATGATCATATTGTAAATATTACATCCGATATACTGAAATATATCCTGGAAGAGCGTTATGAAGATATTATTTACATGTCATTAGTATGTTCGAGAAAGACACTAATTAACATGCACCTGACTGAGTCATAAGGTCAGGGAAAACAGTTAACAGTTAACAGATAACTGAACCTCCAATTGACCAATTGCAAACCCCGAACAATTCAGTCAGCGTGCCCAGCTGACTAGTTTACCAACCACAGTAGTAACCAAGAGTTACGCCCAAGGAGCATATCATTAACTAACTATTAGTTTGTGCAGTCACAGGTTAAAAAAAAGCCCAGCTGTTCAGCTAACAAAATTCATAGTTATGGGCTATAAATGACAAAACGTGTATGTGTAGGTGTAGCAACAGTAACTCAGGGATATGGGGTTAGTGAATGGTCAGTTGTGCGGTATTGCTGCCCAGTGTCCACCTGTATGTTCTTATGTCGGTGTGTGTGTGCTGAGTAGACCAACCGTGATGTGTGTGTTCGCAGGGAGCCCCAGGGAAATATTTGGCAGCGAGGGCGAGGTGTAGAGACTCAGAGGACTCAATGTCCCATCAGCCCCCAGCGTTTGATGGAGAGATCTCAGCTGCAGACAGACAGACAGACAGACACAAGGGTAGACTGGTTAGTTTAGGCGTGTTGCTCTTTCGAATCTTAGGTTGCTATGACAACCATTTACTGTAAACACTGACGAACAGTATCTCTCTCAAATCAAGTCATTTCACTCTCTGAATCCTCTTTCTACAGCTGCTTGTATGTGTCTTTAATAACTATATAATAGGCCTATTGAACACATCTGCCAATGACCAGAACCATACAGCTGTTTTGAACCACTTCATGTTTATGCTCCACCTGCGCTTACTGGGAGTTGAGTCAACGTGGAAACACAAAAAACATGCCACTCCAAGACAACAACAACAACTGCACAATTCACTGCACTTAAAATAGCAATAAAAGGAATGCATTTGTACCAATCAAATTCAGTATGAGTCTTGTAAGCTTTGAAGGTTACTACTTGCTCACTTGACATAATTACAAGTAGCTGTCTTAAGTATTTGATACCATTGGCCCTAGTATTTTATCCACATTCAACACCATCCTAGTCAATGGTCGTGACCCATCCTCCTTCAAGCACAGCATCATTCTACCTTTAATCAAAAAAACATAAAAAACTACTTCCAACTGTGCTAACTTCCTGCCAATCTCAATTCATCTATGGTCCTGGAAAAAGTTTTCTTTTCACAACATATTCCTTGTTTTAGATCACAACAACATCAAGTCGAATTATAAATTACAGTCAGGTTTCATGATCTACCGCAGCAGTGAGTCAGCTCTGCTAAGACTAAGGCTCATTCTCACACCTGTATTAGTTATTCAGGGTAAGGCCTTAGAATGGTTTGTTTATTATCAACAAAATAGACCAGTTTCAGTTATGATTGATAATTTATAATACTGCTCAGCCACTATCTAGCATGGTTTACCCCCTGTTTAATTTTCATCTTATACGCTTCTGCTAGGATCTGTTTTTCTTAACACACATCATTGCTACACTGGTGACATGCAGCTATATTTCCCCTTAAAACCAAGCAAAACATATGCCCTTCAGTCTTGGATGTTAACTGCTGAACAAAACTTTTTTCCTGTTTCCTTGAGCCTCAGTCTTCAAACGTCCATACGTAAATTTATAAATTTATAAACTCTGTCATTACTGGCAGATTTTCTTCATTTGGTCTATTGGCAAAATAATGCCCATGCAAATAGACACAAACAAATGAAGAAAAAGCATCATCACCAATTTGAGCACACAACCAAGTATACATTGTACTGCACAAACAGGAATCATAAACAAATATAGAAACCTGCAGCAAGAACATAAAACAAAACCAGATACAGAACCGTGATGCAAAATAGTAAAACACAACCACAGAAACGCATTGACAAAAAAGAAAAGATAACTAAATACAGAAATGCTGCAAGTCACACTGAACACAACCGAAAAGAGTTACACATCCCCTTATAAATTAGTCCTCGTTACCATTACATGTTCTCAAATTAAGTCCAAAGGTGACCAAGCATTTTCCATTGCTGCTTTCAGACTGTGGAACAGTTTCTCTCACTGTCAGGTCTATCACCACTTTTAAATCCTTATGATACCCATAAAACCCACCTTTTTAAACTAACCTTCGTCTCTCCTTGATTATTAATAAAACTATGAAATTGCTTCAATTTGTCTGACACAATTATTCATCTATTATTTTCTGTTCTGTTTTGATGTATCTTAAATTTCTCTGTAAAGCACTTTGATCCTCACTTGTTTTTAAATGTGCACCACAAATAAACTGACTTGACTTTTCTTAAACCACAGTGAACTGTAGGTGGCGAACTCGAGCTGTGTGTGCAGTGTGAGGAGATGAATGGATGACTGTGAAAATGAAACCAGCCCCTGTATGAGTCAGTGGTTATAACTTCTTTCAAAATAAAATGTCTGTGTGGTTGTGTGTATACCTCAGTCTGTATGTTAGGGACAGATCCTGTGTTGCCATTGGCGATGGCTGTATTGGAACTGTTGGGACTGCTGGGACCTGAACCTGGAGCGCTATTACAGAGAGAGGAGACTGTTCGAGGGACACAAACACATACAGAGAGAGAGAGAGAGAGAGAGAGAGAGAGAGAGAGAGAGAGAGAGAGAGGGAGAGAGAGAGAGAATGAGAGGAAGTCATCCTCAAGTTAATTAATACTAATTTATTGAGAGTGAGATCATGTGTTAAATGCCTGTTTTGAGCAGACACTTGTTGTGTATTCATGTGTGTTCACCTGATATCTCTATGGCTCTCTTCTTAAAGGTGCTGATGACAGTTCCATCCTTCCTGCGGAGAAGTGGAGAGCTCCGCCTCTCTGCCACCTTCTGCTTCAACCGCGAACGCACCTTCAGGTTAGGCTCGGAGACTGGACGAGAGACACACAAAAAAGAAAAAAATAATAAGCTTGGAGTTAAAAAAAAATCAATGATCATTTGAACCCTACTGTGTTATATTACAGTCTGTTTTCTCTGTATTTGAGATTTTTATCTTGTCATTTTTATTTCTAATTGTCTTATAATAAGCATTGTTGTATCTCTTGTGTTGTATGTTTTATTGTGAAGTGCAGTGTTTTGTTTGGCAGCGTATTTAATGGAGGTATATAAGGTGGCTAGTGATTTGCCAGCAGCAGACTGCTGTAATCCTACATCACTTGTTGGCTGGCTGCACATATTGGCTGGCTAGTTTGATTGCTGGATGAGCAGTGACAGCAGGTGTATTTTAAGGTAGCTTTGGTCTAAAAGTCAAGGTGACGAGCAAGGAGCAGGAAGAGGAAAAAGCATCCTGGTTTTATGGTGCTTTAACAGTATCTGAATCCAGGAAAACCTGATTACTGTTTGAAAATGTGGCACCAGGGCAGTTACTGACAGATCTAACTGAGCAACACTTGGACATGGACATGAAGGAACTGTGCACAAGTGGTATGAATGGTAAAATTTTAAATGTATGCTATAAATCCATCCATTTTCATTATCATGTGTAAGACTGCAGGGGCCTGGACACAGTATCCTAGGACATACTGTATTAGAGGATATTTACTGAGCATGACATCGCAATTTCTCATTTTAGCAAGGTAATTATGAAGAAGACGAACTGCAGATGTAAATAAGTCTAACTGCAGTTCATCTGATTTGCATAAGTGCTGCTTAATAACACCTGATGGTTGGCTGTTTTGATATGTGCATGTCTGGAAAACAGTGAGGTGCAAAAGAAAAAAGTGCTTCCTGCTGCAGAACTTGGACCACTGGTTGAAAAGAAGACACTTCTGGAACTTCAAGAAAGATACGGTCTATGCTGTGTGTGTGGAAATATTATTTAATAAGATGATGTTGTCAGTTCAACAAAAAGATCGGTGATTAAACGAAGATCTTTGGTAAAACCTTTAAGTTTCTTTAACTAGATACTTACTGTAAAAAGATAAAATATAATATAATGGGCTTGCTAATACAATGAGCTGCTAAGTGAGGAAAAATAAATATTCAAGCAGGAGGCCATTGCGAGAAACAGGTAAATAGCATGTTAATAGCATGTCAAACTAACTAACTTATCACCTGCAACAATAACCAAGATTTAGCATATAATAACCCATCACTAACTGCTACGTTAGCTTGTGGAAATACAGGTTCATTTGAAAAAAGTCCCTTTCATTGACTAATACATTCAATGTGTAGCTGTGTGGAGGCAAGTTCCAGATGCTATCAGAGTTTTGGTTAACGTTAGCGATTCTGTCCTGCTCCTTATTGGATTAGGGAAAGTTTAGTACAGTACAGTCATCATTACCAGAGTGTTAATTACTCATCTTAAAAGCCTTGACATTCCTCATCTTGATGTTTTAAAAATATACTGTTTAAGAACAGGAGCATGAACAAGTGTGCAAGATAAGCTGCAAAATGGATGGTTTTGTTGGCGGAAAATAACAAACGTATTAACAAAATAACTAACTAAAGCAATCAGCTAACATTTTCCTTTTCATAAATGCTAGGGCTAACTAGCTCTAAACTGCAACACAAGAAAAATGCTGTCTCTTTATTTCCATTTATTCTACATGGGAAATAGTCTTTGTCCCCGATTGTAGCCATCAAGCACATGTTTAAGACACATCATGTCTCATTTTTGTTTTAAGACAAACCAACTTGAAACATTAAAAAGTCAACCTTACCTGGCGTTTTAAACTAACTCATGGAGCTAACCTTAGCTCAACTAGCTAGCTAGCTAGCTGCAGCAGATAAAGTTTCAGAAATCTGCTTTTGTCCATCTCTGTTTGAAATCAAGGAACCTCTTAATCAAGTTTCCATTGCAAATTTGGGCAATTTTAACTGGTTTTCCAGAAAATTGTAGTGGATATCTCCAACCATTACAATTATGCTAACATTAGGAGATGGGCATATTGAGATAAACATTTTTGCAATATTTCAACTTTACAAGAAATTAATTAATTTCCAGTCTCTCAATTTTTTTCATCTGCAAACTGAAAATGCGCAACAGCAAGTTGATGGAAACATACTGTTTCAAAAATGAGTTTGCATTTTTATTATATTTCTTCCACCATCATCAGTGTAATCTGCATATGCTAAATAGGAACGGAAAGCTTGACAGACATCGTAGTAGTAACAGTCAGTAATAGTCAGTGAATATTTCTGTGGGGACGGAACCAGGTCCACATCCTGACCTCTGACCTCTGACCTCAAATGATCAGATAAAATGCTTTCACATAGTTTCAGGTACGTCTGGAACAGTGTATGTGTGTTTTATCACTAGGTTTGGGCTACCTCCTTACTGGTGAGTCAGACTGAGTCATCAAAGCAGGTACACACACACACACACACACACAAATATATATATATATATGAACACACCACCGTCCACACTCTACCCCCGCATTGTCTTTCATCAAACTATGACAAGTGACAATCTTACACACACACATCCTCCCTCTGTCTTTGTGTGTGTCTGTGCCTCAGTCTGTGTCTCCTACCTGTCTTGCGGAGTGGGAAATCATCTTTGCTCTCATAGTTCCCCAGCAGTGGGGGCAGTTTGTAGGAGGGAGGAGTTCCTGGTGTGTTACTCTGCGGAGGAGAGCTCTGCTCCAGAGAGGTGTGCTGGGCTCCCCTGCAGACACACAAACACAAGGAGAAAGCCAATTAGCTGGCTGGTAAAACCGTTTCACAATATTAAGTGATTAAGTGCTGCACTAAACGTTTTCTGGCAACCCGCTTAGTAAACCTCTGCTTCATTTAGTCATGTATTACAACTGAACATTGTTGAAAGATGGATTTAGGGAAAAATATTCTCGAGGACTGACACCAAAACCTGACATTTTTTTATGTTTCAGATCAGTGAAATTTTTCCAGCTGTTGTTGGGACTGGTATGACATCATCCCATCCATAGCCCTTTTCAGGGCCCTTTACTTTACATTCATGTATCTCTTAATGTGATACCTCCCTGTCATTCAGACAGAGGTGATACAATGGTGTGCTGCATATTCTCAGTTTCATCCATGTATTTAGAATGAATTAAAATGAAAAATAGAAGGAGAAAAATATTTCTTAATAGATTGAGAGAAGAATCTCCTTGACAACTTATTTTGATTAGAGCTATGGATGGCGGATGGGAGATATGCCTTCAAATCAATATCACGATTACTTCAAACTTTTACCTTGATTAATTAACAATTATTTTGGTGCCCATCAGTCTCTCACTCCGTTTGAGCCATCCACTCTTCATATTCAGCAATGTGATTTTGTCCCAAGTGATTGAACAAACTGGTGTTGTTACATTTGGTCACTGAAATTGTTTTTCTGAAGTGTTCGTATTTGACTTTTTGTTAAGTGTTGCGTTCCGTGTTTTGTGAAGTCACTGTGACCTTTGACCTTTGACCACCAAAATCAAATCAGTTCATCCTCGAGTCCATGCGAATGTTTGTGCCAAATTTGAAGTAGTTCTGCAAAGGCATTACTGAGATATTGCATCCACAAGAATGGGACAGACAGACAACAGAAAAACCCCTGGACTTCAGGATGAGGGAATTGGAAGTGCTAAAATGCTAACTAATTTCTGGGTTTTAGGACTCATTCCTGCAGCACTCTGTAAGGGTTAAGACCTACTTTTTTTTTTTGCCCAGCTGGTGCATTCTGCAGACTTAGAAATAAGTTGGACAGAACAACTTACATGCACCAGCAAAATGACTGGGAATGCAGCCTACGTTTACATTAGGATGACAAAGACACAATTCCCAGAATAAAGTTGAGGAATTTAGTTTGAGACTGACTGAAAATGTAATGTTACAGTGATGTGACTGATCTGTCCAGAGACAGGTAGGTGGACCTCTCAGAATCCTCACCAGCACTTTGGGGAGAAGGAATGGTTCAGTCCACCAGGACCAGGCTCTTTCTTACTGAGAAGGAACTCCTGGAGCTTCAGCTTCACCTCAGTACTGGCAATGGCACCTGCCAAAACACACACACATGCAAGACAACAATCAGCAAAACACTCCACACTTGCTTGCAGACAAAGAGCAAACGTGTGGATAGCAGGGTGGTGATATCAGCAGCAGTGGTGTAACCTACTCTCTTTTCCTTTCTCCTTGTTCCTCAGCAGCAGCAGTTGTTGCTCCAGCCTCTGTTTCTCCTGCTCTTCATGTCTTTGTTGCTCCAGTTTCCTCTTCTGTTCCAGCTCCTGCTGCCGCTTTGCTGCCAGCAGCTCCTGTTGTTGCTTAAACACAGACACAACACACACATTTTACTGGATGACTCATGGGATGATTAACTCACCAACGAATTAGAGATGAAAGTCACTTTTAAAGGTTGCTGTCCTGTCGAGTGGCTCATACTGTAGGTTAACCCTAACCTGGCTATCTACCTTCAGGTGCTCCTGCAGCTGGACTTCATGTTGTCTTGTTAGCACTTCGTGTTTTTTCTGGAACTCTGCAAACAGCAGCTGTTTCTGGAGCTCCTGCTGCTGTTTGAGAAGCACCAGTTCCTGCTGGAGCTGCTGCTCTCTCAGGGTCGTGTCCACCGCCGCCGCACCCCCAGACAGAGACCCCACCCTGGGTTCTGTCCGCAGGTCCACAGGGCTTCCTCCTCCACCTCCTCCTCCTGGGCCTTCTCCTGGACCCCCACCTGGAAAAGCACCAACGGACAAGAGGTCCTGACTCAACTGCTGATTTTGTTGTATTTGTGCATCTTTCTGTCAGTCTGCTGAATGTTCTGTATTTTGAATTTCTGACTGACGTAAATCATGTCCTTTTTGTTTAGTACATTCTTTTGTTTGCCCCTGCTCACTTCTCCCAGGCCATGTTCTTCCCTTTGTCTCCTCACACCTGCCAATCTCCATCCGTCCATTCCCCGGCTTTTTCCCTGTCCCCATATCTGTCTGCTCACCTGCTTTCCATTTTCACCTGAGCTTCCCCACCCACTCACATACCTGTTCCCAGTTTCCTCATCACTTCAGCCAGTATTTAAATATACTCTTTATTTATGTTCCTGTGTTTTTTCCTATGTGCCCTCTAGCTTCATTTAGTTACCTGTTGCCTGTATCTGCCTGCTTGTCCACTTGTCTTGAACTTCTCAAAGACCACCAAAATCCTCCGAAAGGACCTCCATCACACCTCAGAGCAACCCTAAAGACCAGGATATGCTTGGACTAGACTACAATGTGTCAGGCAATAATCATTTAAAATGAGGATTATGGCGCTCACTTCTTCATAGGCCATGATGCTCTGGGTTGTACACACAAAAAGTGTGACGAACAGAACAAGAGCCTGACTGAATTTCAAACAAGTGCGCTTGCTTGCTCGATTGTCAGGAAAACTACAAAATTTGTTGGACCAAGTCTGGACTTTAACAACAGAAAGGTGTGGGGAACAGGCTTTCAAGCACTTTGGTTGTAACACCTTGACGCCTTGACATCCCTTGGCCTCTTCAGTAGCTGAAGAACCATTTAAGAGAACCATAAAAACAACTTCAACTGAGACTCTGTAATATTTGCTGAACAGAAGCTGCTGTAGAAACAAGTGACAAAATAATTTCAATAAAATGATAACTGCTAAAATGTTGTGCAACTGTAGCACAAGTACAGTCACAGAGACAGCAAGTCGACTCAGTGACCCCATAATAGCTATTTTAAGTTTGATAACATTAGGTAACATTAGCCACCATATGCAAGTGATCATCCATCTAGTAATGCCAAGGTGCTATCAGTGGGTGAATCTGAAACTGAACTACAAATCTAAACCTATGTGGGTATCTACAGTGGGTCTCCCATTGACTCTTTGTATCGAGCATAAATTCAGCTTAAAACAGTACTTAGCATAAAAGCAAAATAAATAAATAAATGGTCAAAATTTATGCAGGAGAACCAGAGATATCTTTTTATTTTATTCATTCTTCTTTTTCAAAACCTGGTGTCTATATTAGCCACAGTGCAACTTGACCGCCAACAGTTCACTCTGAGTTTGGGGTGTGTTATGCTAGTAGCAGCTAGTGTAGCCTGGAGCTACTAGCCTCAAGCAGAGATAAGGAGCAGGCTACAGATATCTGGTAAGCTCAGTTCTTTCTAACTCTACACCCACAGATATTTTCACTTTCAAATTTGTAGACCTTTGTCCCAACCAACACTGACTCATCTGACACCACCTTATCAGACTTCATGCAGCTCCCTGTGGAGCCACAAAAGGCTTTATACACTTTTTCACATAAGCAGCACTCCCCAACATCTGTAAACAGACTATAAACAGACTTCCCCTTGAAGACTCTGACTGGTGCCTCCTGCAAGACCTTTGTATCTGCTGCACAGAACGGAAGTTGACTGGAGGACTAATTATGTGTTCAATGAGTTCAAAAAGCTTTGATTGGTGTTGTGCATTCTTTGAAGAACTACTTTAAGTAACACCTGAACCCACCCAAGGACTCTTAAAATCCCCTTAAACCTCTTCCACATGCCACTGATCCACTTTTAGGAAGCATTTGACCCATTTATTCGAACCCCCTTTTGGAGACCTGGACCTCCCCCTCAAGGACTCTTAGAGGACTCCCTACTCACCACCTTCTCCACCTCCTCCTCCTCTGTGCTCGCTCGCTGCTCCTACTGGGCTCTGCATGCCCGATGGGAAGCTGCTCTTCACCTCCACTACTGCAGGACAGAGAAACAGAGAGATAGAGAGGGAAATGAGTGATTGATGAGTCTGGAAAATGTTGTCAGGGATACAGCAGACTATTACATAATTCATTTCATACACACACACACACACACACACAGAGAGGCAGTTCCCCTTTTATTTAGATGAGCTGTGATAGTGTTGTAAAAAAGTGAGGAACACAGTGTCTCATCGCCTAAAAATAGCCTCAAGTCTAGCATTAGCCTAGCTTTAGCCTAGCGCTAGGTAGCGATGACTTAGAATTACCCTAGTATTACCTTGGCATTAGCTTAGCTTTATGTTAAAATGTGCCATATACATAGACTATATATATACATACATATATAGTTATCAGAGAAACCTGCTGTTATTTATATCAGTATGTGGAAACTGAAAAAAATAATAATCATGAAGAAGAAAGGAAATTAATTACTGCTGGAAAAGAAAGTGCACTCTTGCTTTATAGAAATTAGTTTAATGTAGGAAATATTAAAACTAAACATGTCAGTCCCATCCCCTAGATCAGTGGCAATGCACTGCTTTGGATTTGTGGCAACCACTTGGACCAAATACTATGACAAATTAATATTGATTTCTTGCTTCAGGCAACAGAGTGGCATTAGCTGATATTTCACCTGTTCAAATGAAAGATATGGGAACTCATCAAGTGAAAGATTCATCATATTTTCAAATCTGTCAGTGGAATAAAAGCTTCACTCTTCAGTTGAAAATTCTTGCTGCGAATGACTGGCATTGTGTGGTCACGTGGAATGGGTTAAACCAGCTATTCATAAATCTATTACTTCCTAAGTTTGTATCAACTCCTAGTTTCAAGTTGCATCATTCAGACATTTCAGACATTTTTCAGACATGTTTTATTTTATTATCCCACGTTGTAAACTTGATTTGCAGTCAGGGCTACAGATTAAAAAAACAGATAAAAACAACACAAGTGCAACAATATAATTAAACACAGAACACTATAAAAACACCAGACACTAAGTCGAGCATGTGCACACAGAAGACAGCAAAACAACTGCAGCAAACAACTTTAAAACAACAAAACGCAGACACAAACAAATACGCCTGCTACAGGTCGCTACAAGAGCCGCGCCCCGCCAACTTTAGACGGCAGCGCTGTCTGATCAAAACAAAAAAAATGCTTTTATTTACAGTATACAACAAGTTGAGTACACCCCTGTGCAATATCACTAAAGTCAGTTTGCCTCTGACCACTGCAATAAATCTGATTGCAACTGTGATTTCCAATTAAGGCTAATTGCATGAACAAGGTTTATAAAAATAACCTGAGCGCTTTCTCAGCTTTGAAATGTCTGAATGAGTAAGAAACCACTCAGAGACAAGAGCACCAGCAGGTCCAAACACAGCTGCAGCAGCAGTTAGGAGGTATAGGAAGGAGGTAGGAGGGTGCAGTGGCCGTCCTCAAAAAAAAAAAAAAAGGACACGATGCACAATCATCCTTTTACGTAGCCTTGCGTTGGAAAACAGATGAGTAAGAGCTACTGAAATGGCACAAGGATTATCTGTGGAAATTGGTGTTTACAGTGACTGATAAGACATGAAGTCAACTTCCAAGAAAGAAAACTATTGCAAAACCATAATGCCCGGTACACACTTGTGTTTGTGCTATGACTTTATAGTACACATGTGGCCTCCACAGTCTCCAAATTCATTCCTAATTTGGTTTAAAAAAAATATATATATTTATGTTTTATGTCTGTGACATAATCAGATATAGCCTTTATCAGTGGTTTCTCAAAGTGAGAACAGATGAGTAACATATAATAAATTCTGAGAATTACTTCAACACTCATACATTTTATTCAGCAGTATGAATGTGGCATTCACACAATTCTGTTTACACTGACTACTGACGACAATGAACTTTAAGCATGACTGTACTTTGTGTCAGTATGACAGGATTCACAGTGCAGATGTCTTCATTTTGAGACATGGATAATTTTTGTATCACACACTCTCTATAAACAAGTGTTCCATGCAAATTTAACACACAACTTTCATGCATGTACTGTATGTCACGTTCACCATTTAGCTACTGCAGAAGAAGAGGTGCAACAAGATGACATCATTAAAAGATTCAAGCAAATGATGGTCATGGTGATGACATTTATGTTTGTTTCATGTATAATTTGAGGAAGGTTCTTCTCTCTTTTTCTCTTCACACAAATCTGATATTTCTGTCTGCTGAAAAGTTCATCACGATTTATAGGATAAGTCTGTTTCCATTGCACTTTGTAGCATTTTGTCTTAATGTCTGTCTCTAATTTCCTGCATTCTCACTTACTGTGTGCTTTTTATGTGTGAATCTAAAATTGTAAAAACATAAAAACAGGTGAATGGAAACACACTTTCTGTGTGTGGCAGTTTAGGTTTTTACAGTATTCATGTATAAGCTACAATGCTAAGACTCAGCAGCACTCAGATCGGAAGCCCCAATCAGCTTAGCTGCTCCAATCAGCTTAGACTGATCACTGGATATGTGTGTGTGTGTGTGTGTGTGTGTGTGTGTGTGTGTGTGTGTGTGTGTGTGTGTGTGTGTGTGTGTGTGTGTGTCTACGTGCATGTGTTTGTATGTATGTGTGTGAGTGAGTCAAAGAGACTTTGTATAATGTCATTTGGACTATTTCTTCAGGTTGGCTCTTGGTAGCATAGAGACTCAACAAGTCACGAGCCGACAGGTTAACACACAAATACAAAGACAGAGAAAGAGAGAAAGATGTAAGTAGGGAAATATATATATAGATAGAGAGAGAGGGAGGTTTTAGCATCTTATCACCATCAGTATCTACTGTACCAATGTGCCCTTGAGCAAGGCAGTGACCCTGACCTGCCATGGGCCTGTGGCGAGTACGCACTCCTGGTCATGGGTGATTACACTAGTGAATCAGGCTACATCCTGGAAGGCTCCACACCCTGCAGCATGTTGGGACGTCAGGATGTTTCCTGTCTGCTGGCCAGGGAGGAAATTCAATTAGGACATACCTACTGAGTAGTCTGACCTTTGACCTTTCTATACGAAGGTGTTCTGATTGGTCACCTCCCACTCTTTGGCACGCCCTTTTTCCTATGGCGTCCCACGTGGGTTCAAAGCTAATCAAAGCTAAACAGACAGCGACAATAAGGCCAAGATGATCAACCCTGTGCTTGTGACCAGTTAGACGAGGACAGATTTCATCATTTCTTTACCTTTGACCTCTGAACATGTTCTGTATGTACAGTGAGTGTAAGGGGCGCAAGCTCAGATTTTATTCCTGACAAAAGTTTAAGATTATTTTCCCCTTATACACACACGTACGTACAAACACACACACACACACACACGCACACACACGCACACACACGCACACACGCACACACACACGCATTGACAAAGAAGCAGTCCAGTTTCAGATTTTCTGGTTTGTGGCTGCTGCAAGAAAAAGTTGGTAAAAACCAAAAAACTGAGAGCTGTGTGTGTGTGTTTGTGTGTGTGTGTGTGTGTGTATATGTGTGCGCGTGTGTGTGTGTGTGTTTGTACGTGTGTGTATGTGTGTGTGTGTGTGTACAGTCACTCACATCTAAATTACCTAAACAAATATTCTGGCATTTCACTGTGACGCACGTGTCTCCCTTTCCACTTGAACACACACACTGCCTCAGTGTGCGTGTGTGTGTGTGTATGTGAGAGACTGGTCTGTGAGTGTGTGTACAACAGTCCGTTTGGCAACAGAGCAGCATTCCACAGCAGCCAGGGTCTGACGTCAAACTGAAGACATTTATAGTCTGGTAAACACACACACACATACACACACACACATACACACACTCACACACACTCTTCTGACGAGGAGGCGGGGATGAGGCAACCTTTCAGTCAATCATATTAGTCTCTAACTGAATACAGCTCACAGTTACACACAGTAATTCATGCACCGGGACAGAGACAGTAAAAAGAATGAATGACAATGTTTGTTCAGTCAGAAAATCCTGGTAGAAATGAACACAGAATGGTGATTACACCTTAGTGCTAATATGCACCATGCTAATACAACACTGGAGACTTTATCACAGATTTGGCGAAAAGTGATTTTGTAAAGATTTTGAATGAATGATGTTTGAGTCCATGTGTGCATCGGTCAGGTCCAGCTGGACTCATGATAGTGCTTAATAAAGCATTCCTCCTTATACTGGCACCAAAATTAAACACTTTTATAAGGCTACAACTATTAGTTTTATTGCCAATTCATCTGCAAATCTTCGTCTCAATCATTTGGTCTATAAAATGTTCTTTTTTTAGGATTTATTAATTAGCACTAAACATAAAGTGCAGCTGAGTTTGAAAGTAATTTCATTAATTTTTCAGGTTTATTTGGTCATTAACCAAAGTATTGGACAAATTAAAATGTTTACCATATGTTGGTACTAGATGAGGAATATAAAAAGGTCGTTCTATAAAACCCTTTTTTTATATTTAACATAACTTAAACCTCCCAACGGTACTCTAACAGTATTTAATTTTGTCTGCACAAGAACTCTGACTGGATAAAATTCAGTCTAACCTGTGACAAAAGTATTATTTCATATTAAAATATATCCAGGGTTTTCCCTCACATTTTAAGACACTGAATGAGCACAAATTCTTTTCTGGAAATTAGGTTTGGAAAAGTGTGGTCACCTTATATTTGAGGTCATTACATCAGATATCCAACTATAAATGGAGGAATCGCAGGAAACAACTTTAAAACAACAAAAAACAACAACAGTCAGCCCATATAAACCACTTCACTCATCATCCAAAGACTGACTGTACCTCTTGTTAAAGTAATCAGGACGGACAAAACAGAAATGATCCAGAACTGCTCGACTTTAAATGATGTGATGAATAAATGATTGATGACGACAGTTTCAGTTACTAGAGAATCTTCTACTAATGAGGTAAAGACTTTGTCTTTTGGTACTGGACCACTGGAGTGAACCAGTTCATTACTACGGTCCACCAACTGGGAATTTCCTACAGCAGCTTTTCACAGGAATCTTTAAAGATGCAGGGATCCAGCCTATATCCTGAGAATCAAACATGCTACATGAAGAGCTGGCCAAGATTTTTTTTGCTGTTAATAATCCAGGTTGAATGACTTTTCTCTCTTTCTCTGTTTCTGTTACTCCTGTTTTAAATTGCTGCTGCTGCTGCTGCTGCTGCTGCTGCTGCTGGGAGGTATTTCTGGAAACCAATATTCCTCTTTTCTGTTCTTTCTCTCCCTGTCTTGTTCATTCCGCGTTGCTAAAAGAAAATAGGCACTATGACGTCAACCCTGCAAAACACTCTAAAAAAAATCAGGAGAGGGAGAGAGAGAGAGAGAGAGAGAGAGAGAGAGAGAGAGAGAGGGGGAAAGAAAAGACAGAGCAACACAGAGAGTGAGGTAAAAATAGTATAATGGCTGTGTGTACTTTAGACAAATTAGAAGCTTAGAGAGAGAAGAGTCACATTTGGAGCGTTGCTATAGAGACTGAGGGGTGGGTCAGAAGTATTATGGGCTGGCAGACTGTAGGTCATCCACCGATACTGTCTGTTGTGTGTTGCACCAAGCTGAATGTCTTTGACAAGATCTGATTCAATACATCACACAGTGCGTACGCACTATTGTATGTGCTGACCAATATTATATAATAATGGTCGAAGTGGCGATGTGTACCCCTCAGCTGTGTGGTGCCTTTTAGTGTCTTTTAGCTTTGTTTTGGTTTTACAACCTGCAGCTTTAATGTTTTGGTGTCTCATCACCCATTAACCTCATTTCAAGCAGCAACTGGCAGCTAAACAAACTACAAGCAATATGGCCAGTACCAAACAGCAGACAGAAAAAGTTAGTGATCGTTCACTGTTAAACAGCTAGCTCGCTAACTGCAGCTGCACACAGCAGTCCTTGTTCTGCTCTGCAGCCTCAGTGACTTTGGGCTAGCTGCACATGTAGCAGTTCTCCACCAGAGCAGAACAAGAACCACCGTCACAAGCTGCAGTCCAAGTCGGTGGAGTTACAGTCCGTCCACCGGACGAGGGAAACACAAAGAGGGATGAGCCGGGGCATCGAATGAATTTACATAGAGCACGTCATAAAATAAATTACTGTGCAAAAATCCAAAAGAAGCGTCAAAGCAACAGATACGAACTTCTAGTCAGGACTTTCACAATAAAATCAGAGTGGAAACAGGATGCAGATGGTGGGTTGAGATTCGACCCAAAAAGATTGTCATGTGATCTTTTGGCCAGATCGCCCACCCCTAGTTAGCGACTAGCTGGCGAATACAGTGGAGCATTTAGCGGCTAAAGCGGCTCTTTCTCCCGACTGAAATCAGACGCTCTAACGCATTAACTTTTTTAAAGTCTTTTCTTAAAATTTATCTCTCCACGAAAGCCTTTGTGTTTTATTTAGATTATTGTTGTTACATATTCCATTGCCTCTCCATAATATTTGATGTATGCTTTTATTTATGCTGTTATACTCTCGTTACTTGCTCTTATTAATTTCACTCTCTTCACTTCTACTGTGCTCAGGCTCTTTGGCCTTCTCTTTTATCTGGTTTTATTTTTCTACAAAGCATTTGTAACTTTGTTAAGAAAAGTGTTTTACTATTTATTATTTATTATCTTTTTAAATATGCAACTGTACTCAAACACACATCAGCATCATATAAAATGCAAAACCAGATTTATGGAACAATATTAGTAAAAAGCAAAGCTAACCTAAGAAAACGCTACAGCTATTATCAATACACTGAAGTCTATGTGAGCCTGTGAAGATTGAATACACACACACACACACGCGCACACAAACACACATATACACTGACCTGGGTTTGCCAGTGAGCCAACACTGCAATTGCGAAAAGAAGATTAGAGTGAATGTGCGTCCTAACTGTACCAGCTAACGACCTGCTGGCATCGAGGGGTGGCATCGAGCCACAGTCCAAACCCTGCTCACCTCACTTTGGCAACCACATTGTCCAGCAGACCACACTGCACCTCAACCTCCACAGCAGACACAAATATCTTTTAGCAGTCTCTGTGTGAGCATTAGATTAATTACTAAACCAATCAACTTCCCCTTGCCCAAGGAGAGTATTTAGAGCACTTGAATGTTCAAAAATGGTTCAAAAGGTTCCCAAATAAATGTTTTTCATCCCACCTAAACTGACGAGGAGCAGTCTGCAGCTGCACAACTTTGTAAGAAAAGAGAGTGTGATTTGTGGAGCAGCATCCGGAGCATTTTCACCCTTTTTCTCGGTCTGGAGCTACAAAGAGCGTCTTATTTACTGTGATTTGTAAGGACATTTAATTGTTATGAACAGATAATATAAGTGTAAGTCAAACTGAATATAAAAACATGAGTCTGATGTTCGAGTTATTATTCAGTCACTCAGTTATTACTCTGACGGAAAATGCGGCAATTGGGTGCTGAGGGTTTTAAAGTGCTTTAACTGCCTCAATGAGCTGTGTGTGTTACCACCACCGCTGCTGCTGCTGCAACCGTTGACCGTGCGCAGGGGCCAAATCAGTGGACCAAACTACAATAACTAACTTCCTGTTGTATTGAGAACACCATCGTGCACCTGTCCGTTTCACCTCAAACAGTATCTTCCCACTGCACGCTGTGTTTGAAAACCTCTGACTTCAACCTACTGTCTATCTAATGCTCTATCAACAAAACACACACGCACGCATGCACACACGCCTCTTTCCCAGATATGACTCACCAGTGGTGGGCATGGCAGTGCTGGAGCCCCTGTTGCCACTCAGGAGCTCCAGAGGCTGGTGGTGGCTGTCTGTGCTAGCAGAGGAAAAACAGGACTCAGTCTCATAGATGGTCTGCAACATGGCGCACAATCCTGACACTGTGGGACGCAACAGCATGCCAAGACAAGAGGCAGCGTTCTCTTTTGTCACAAAAAAAACAGTCAGTTCCTCTTATTAGACACCGTCATGGCTTAGTTTAAGTTGTCAAAGACGGACGGGGGAACAAACATTGAAGTGTGCTTTCAAAAAAATGAATTACTGCTTAAATTGAAAACTTCCTTTATTGTAAAATTGATAGAAAAATTACCATGAATTCCGTCAAAAAAAAAAATCCTGTTTTGAGTTTGTATTGTGTAGTCCAGCCGGGTCAGGCTGCAGTCTTCAGTTAGATTTTTTCTGGCTCTTCAGCGTTTTGCTGTGATGACCAGTTACTGTCACTGTGACAGCATCCTCTTTTCTAATGTTGCAGCCTCAGCTACAGGTTTCAGAAATCAGCCTCTTCTGCAAGGTTTGAGGAATGGATCAAAACTGGAAGATCAAATGTACAAAGTACAGGTTTTCCACAGTGATGACCTGAAATATGACTTCCTGATCAGTTAATATTGTCTACATCACCTGGAGTCCCAATCCATGCAAAACACTTTGCCAGCTCCTGAGACAGTGACAGTGGCTGGTATGTTTAAGGTTGTACCAGTTGCCGCTGCAGATGGAAGAAAAAAAAGTTTATTTCCTCTGCTGGTGCGTGGAAATCCTTTACCGACCGCCAACTATGAGACCAAGACCCGGGAGGGAATCAATGAAATCTGGTTGCTCGCCAGGAAAAATTGTGCGTTTCCATAAGCTGAGATGTGATGGAAGGGATCGGTTCAAGAGCGGGAGCCGCTGCAGCCTCTTCGCTGCTTCCCACAGCTCACAGCACAACAAAAATACAGAGATGAGGAGAAGCCGAATTCCCCTGCTCTTGGTGCATCAAAGGATCCTCATGCTGTTCTCCTCCTGGCCGACGAGAGGGAGAGGAGAGGAGAGGAGGAGGAGGAGGAAGAGGAGGAGGAGGAGGAGGAGGAGGAGGAGAGGCAAGGACGTAAATAGCTTTGGGAGAGCGTTCCCCGAGGTTCCATGCTTCCAAAATTAGAACGAAGAGCTGAGAGAATGACAGTGAGAGGGAAATGGAAGGAAGGAGGGAGAGGGAGAGAGCAGTATTATAAAGAAAAAAAAAAAAAAAAAGAGGAAATGTGAGGAGAGGAAGGCTGAGCTGGAGAAGACGAGCAGCGCGTTCGAATCCTTCCTCCAAGAAAAATGAACAGCACAGGGATCACACGTTGTCCTCCTATCCCTTTGCTTGAAAACACACAAAGAGGACGAGACGGGCGACCAGAAACAGCTGCTGGTCAGAAAGCTAATATTCACTGTCTCAGAGTCACTGGCAGGTTTGTGTGTGTCTCTGTGTGTGTCTGTGTGTGTGTGTGTGTGTGTGCGGGCGTGTGTCTGTGACGCTGTTTGAGCTGCTGAATGAATGCCGAGAGAGAGAGAGAGAGAGAGAGAGAGAGAGAGAGAGAGGAGACAGAGGGAGGAGGGTGAGCGAGCGAGAGAGACTGAAAGTAGATCACTGGGTGGAAAGGAAGTTAGACGGATGAAGAGAAAGTCAACAACAGCTCATTTAATTTTAGTAAGTGTCACAACATCAGCAATGAAAGAGAAGGAGTGTGGACACTCCCTCCACGACCATCCCTCCATTCACCTTTTTTTTTTTTTTTTTCCTGCATGCTACTGATGTGACATTGGCTGCTTTCTTTAAAGATTAAAAGAGAAGAGAAGAAAAGAGAAGCATTTACTAAGGCAGGAGATGGGGGGTTAATGGAGGGACTAGAGCTGAAAATAGCCTGCCAGGGAGGAGGAGGAGCCACAGATAAAAATAGACAGAGCGAGAGGGAGAGCAAGAGCAGTAAGCCTACAGCTCTTGGGTGGGGTGGCGGAGGTGTAGGGGGAAGGGGGAGGGGGGAGGGGGAGGCTTTCAGCGCTGTCATGTTTCTGTATTGCACTTCACCAGAGATCATCTGTCAGTCAAACAGCGTGGGCGGTTTCACCAGATCGACATTCATGGTCCCCGGTGAAGTTTCCGCCTCACGCCATCATCACATCTAATGTTATATTAGTCCAACACTACCTGCAAAACTAATGACATTCCCATCAGCCTCAGCTGCACTTTGTGTTCACTGCTAGGATGCTAATGTTAACATGCTTACATGCTAAACTAAGACTGTGAGTAGCGCTGGGTATTGCCACTGATTTCCTGAATTGATTCAATTGGATATCGACTCAGAGATATTTCAGTCACAATACCAATTTTGCTCAGATATGAGTGAGATTATCAGAGAACCAATAATGCAAATTGTACCTAGAACCTGGTGCATTTTTTTTTAAATATTCACAATTATTAACATTGCTATCAGAGTATTAATGTAAGCAGTTTACACTAATGCACTTTTTAATTTAACGTGCACAACAGTTCAGAAAACACAGCTCAAGAAATAATAGGTAGGTCAGTAAAGTGCGTTGCTAACGTACCCTGGTGCAACGGCTACAGCGTGTACCAACAGGGATACACAGTTTCTTCTTGTATCAGCTTCTTCTTGCACATCTTGCATATAGCTTTACTTTTGTCCAGCTCTTCGCTGTCTTTATAGTTTTTAAATCCGAAATGCAATCACACTTCTACCTTTATACCAGCGACTTCACCGGAGCCACATCTGTTATTGTAGCACGTGACCAGATCTCATTGCATGAGACTAACGGGATTACAGCTTCACAAATCCACGGGAGACCATAAAAGATACATATATTAAAGGATCGATCTCAGGATTTATGAATCGATATCAGTTATTCAAAATGAAGATCGATTATTTTCAACCCAGCCCTCATTGTGAGCATGGTAAACTTCATGCCTGCTAAACATCAGCCTGATAATGTCACTGTGAGGTTGTTATCATGCTGAAGTTGGCATTTATCTTAAAACAATGCTGCGCTTTGTGCAGGCTCACAGGGTTGCGAGTCTTATTCATTTTGTAGCTCGATCAATAATGGATTTTTGTGGCCAATATCTGGGAGGGAACAGATACTGATATATTAAGCGATAGCATTTTTTTTAACTACATATATAAACGTAAAGAAAAAATCTTGATGCAGATCACTCAGATTTTTTTTCTACTTTAGTTAAGACTAAGCTTCATATTGACAAGAACATTTTAGTTCAGTGTTCTCTGATGGACAAACTATGAAATGGTGACACTGTTTCTAAATTATCTCTAGTTTGATTTTTCTTCACAACACTTTCTCTTTGCTTATTGGCTGACATATACATTGGTACTGATATTTCTGCAATAAGGCAATATCATGACATGTCATATGACGTGACATATCAGTTTATTTAATTACTAGAAGAAATCAAACCTTGTAAACAGTAACTCTTGTCTCTTCGCGGGCATCTGTACAAGAACGTCGCCTGAACAAAATGCATACTAAAAACTAGCAAGAGCCTTTTTTCATTAAGAAGAATATCAAAGAATATTAAAGAAGAATACTGATGCCAGTGAGCATTCATTCATTCAGCTCTCAGTCATAACTAAAGGTCTGCTCTCTTTGGAGGTTGCTGAAACCAGTATTCAGCTCTCAAATTTGTTTGGTACCAAAATGTTTATGTAATGTAATATAGCAAATTTTAAAAGGAAATTCAACAAACAAATCATTCTTAAATAAAAATAACTAAATGGAGTATCTGTGTTTGCTTCAACTAGTGAAATGAGAATAAAGGTACTCCATCACATTCATTCAGAAATTGGTCACAACTCATTAACTGGCAACACTGCAATGACAGATACTGAAGTGGAAGCTTGCTCTTTTCAAATGGCTGATTTTACATCAAACATCTATATCGTCTCACAGCAGATTCTGTCATATCACACAACCCGAACATGCGGGATGGCAACTTGTGTGTTTTTTTTTTTTATGGAATATTATACGATACGATATGACACGATCGACACAACACGACATGATACGATACGATACGATGCAACGCTTCCTAGCTTGGATTAGCATAATGACTGGGAACAGAGGGAAACATGTAGCTTAGTTCCATCAGATGGTAACAAACTCCGCCTACCACAGCCTCTAAAGCTCAGTGATTAATATGTTATATCTTGTTATTTTAATCAACCCTAAGATATAAAAACCAGTTTCCGCTCATGGTGATGACAAAACTCCAAGTACTGACTGTAAGTGAGCGTCGGCACACAATTTGTGCATAAAAAAAATGGAGCAGAAACCTCAGAAATTCTAAAAAAGAAAATACTGCAAATGGCAACTGACTGGAGACTTAGCACTATTAGCTGTTCATCTTGATGCCTGCAAGTCCTAGTATTCACATAATGGTGAAACCTGCATTACTTTGCTTTTCTTTTTCAAATTTTCTGCAAAACTTATCTTGTTTCCGGCACAACACGTAACCCTCAGTATAACCATGTGTCATTTTTTTACTCTTCAGAGGCAGCTCTCATCCAACAGCAGCATTTTAGAGATGCATTTCACCTGGGAAATGTCATGGAGAATCACAGAAAGGTAATTTTTTTTAACCAAAAGCTGCACTGCTCACTTTCGTGTGGATATTATTAATTGAAACTGCTGGCTGCTATTTATAGGAGTTGTTTATTCCATTCAGCAGCTCAGTCCTAAGTGTAGCTGTACAGAATAGGTTCCAGTGTTTTAACAGAGTGTAAAGGATGTCTCCGACTGCTGGCAAACCCAGCAAGCATGGATAACAAAAAAACTAAGGCTCAGAATGAATCAGGCTTCGTGTAACTGATGGTAATGCATTAAAAAATGTCTTGAATGGCTCCAGTGGATCAACTCAGGACAAATCTAATTCATTTTATAAGGTGGACGATTTGGACTCCTCTGTATCCATCAGCTTTTTGTTGCTGCCGCTATGACAGTTTCCTTTCCAGGAATGATAACATTTCATTGAATCATTTTATCATCACCTTTCATCCCACCTCCTCTTCATCACCTACATCACCCTCATCATCCTCACCTCCCCTCCTGTGTAACCAGCTCTGTGTGTC